GTTCAAGTGATTCTCCTGCCTCAGCCTCCCAAGTAGCTGGGATGACAGGCGTGTGCCACCACGCCAGGCTAATTTTTTGTATTTTTAGTAGAGATGGGGTTTCACCATGTTGGTCAGTCTGGTTTGAACTCTTGACCTCAAATGATCCACCCACCTCGGCCTCCCAAAGTGCTGGGATTACAGGCGGAAGCTGGCAGCACCAAAAGGAAAACCAAAACAACTGGCCCTTCATAAAGTACATGTAAAACTGCATTCTGTTTTATGAAAATAGGTTTCGCCAGGCACGGTGGCTCGTGCCTGTAATCCCAGCACTTTGGAAGGCCAAGGCGGGCGGATCATGAGGTCAGGAGATCGAGACCATCCTGGCTAACACGGTGAAACCCCGTCTCTACTAAAAATACAAAAATTAGCCAGAAAGTGGTGGCAGGCACCTGTAGTCCCAGCTACTTGGGAGGCTGAGGCAGGAGAATGGCGTGAACCCGGGAGGCAGAGCTTGCAGTGAGCTGAGATCGTGCCACTGTACTCCAGCCTGGGGGACAGAGCGAGACTCCGTCTCAAAAAAGAAAAGAAAAAAAAGAAAATAGGGTTATATTTGTTAGAAAGGACCATTTAATTCTTTCTTTAACTTTTAGGGTATACTATGTTTCAGTGAAAGTTCTCCAGTTCTCACATACTGTTGTATAAACAGTACAAAAAAAAAAAAAAAAGCTCATGAGAGAAAATACCTAAACTTAGAATTTGCTCTTACATCTGTCATATTTTTGTTGCATTATAAACATTTCTGACCATGATACTCTAGGGAGTTGCACTTCTGATACCTAGCTAAGTCCTATCCCTCTTGCTGAGAATAATTGGGGAAAAAATGACAAAATGTGTAAAGTATCTGTTTAAAGACATCAAGAGCTACAAATAACAAATGGAAAAATTAGGGTTCCAAGATCTGAGAGAACTGGGGCTGTTTTTCCCTATTGAATATGCATTCAGTTCCAGAAAAGGCTGCAGAGAAGCTAAATGGAGTTTTCAGTAGACACTGAGGACTCACTAAGAGGAGTACTGATAAAAACCGCCTTCTGACCTATGGATTGAAATACTAACATCATCCAGAGCCTCACAGATTGTTGTAATTTTTCATATAAAAATAGGCCAGGCGCAATGACTCAGGCCTATAATCCCAGCACTTTGGGAGGCTGAGGCGGGCGGATCACAAGGTCAGGAGTTCAAGACCAGCCTGACCAATGTGGTGAAACCCCATCTCTACTAAAAATACAAAAATTAGCCAGGCGTGGTGGTGTGTGCCTGTAATCCCAGCTCCTTGGGAGGCTGAGGCAAGGAGAATCGCTTGAACCTGGGAGGCAGAGGTTGCAGTGAGCCGAGATCGTGCCACTGCACTCCAGCCCAGGTGACAGTGCAAGACTCTGTCTCGAAAAAAAAAAAAAAGTAAAAAGTGGCCAGGTGGGCCGGGCGCGGTGGTTCACGCCTATAATCCCAGCACTTTGGGAGGCCAAGGCGGGTGGATCACGAGGTCACGAGATCGAGACCATTCTGGCTAATACGGTGAAACCTCGTCTCTACCGAAAATACGAAAAATTAGCTGGGCATGGTGGCAGGCGCCTGTAGTCCCAGCTACTCAGGAGGCTGAGGCAGGAGAATG